ACACAGCCGGTTGCCGTTATAGTTTAACGGCAACCGGCAGCATCAGGAGGAAACACCGCAAGACAAGGACGAAAGTTAAGGCAGTGAAAGTCCGAGAAGGGTTGTTCATGACCCTTAAGATTCTAACGCCAAACCATGTTCTTTTTTCCTAAACCTAACCACGTGCTTTTGTTGCCTAACCATGTTTGTTGTTGAAGGATAAAAAAACGTCAATTTGTAGTGCTGTACCAACGTAGTGCGTTTATTTTGAAAGAGACTGTATGTTAACGTTAAATTTCCTGTGAAAACAGACGTGTATCTTGAAAGAAGAGAAGTTGTTGTCCCAGAACGTCAACAACCAACACACCCAGGGTACCTTGCACGTCGTATGTGGACGTGGAAAGTCCATGACCAAACATCAATATGTGACGAGGTCGGAGTGAGGATGTGTTGCGAGTTCCTCCGACTGATAGTATTCCTTGGTGACAGGGTGGTCACAGCATTCACATTGTTGGGAACCCTTCTGCATCTCCAGCAGGAATTTCAGGGCGACAAGCATTTCGCCCCTGAGCCTGTACGCCTCGCCTGTGTTGGGCTGCGAAGACCATGTCAGCTGTCACCTGCAGAAGGGTCCAACAGCGGGTTCTTGTCAGCCACAACCACCTTGAGCTGGTCTCAGCTGCTGTGGCCATCTCCTTGGTGGCTTTCTTCAATTGTTTGAAGCCGACTTCAGTGGGGAATGAGGCTGTGTGCCATCCTTTGAGAGGGGCCTTTATTGAGCCAATCCTGGCACATGGCTTTCTTCAGTTGGTGAGATATGGCTAACCTCTCCTCCCAGGACACTGTGACTTCAGCTAACAAGATGGTTTTTGTGCTGGGATAGGAGAATCAATCATCTTGGACAGGAGAATCATGTCTGGTTGGAGTGAGGTTACCACCGCCTCTTCTGGAAAGGGGTTTCTCTCAATATCACAAATCACAAATTTGTCTCAGGGGGCTTTACAGTCTGCACAGCGTACGGCACCCTCTGTCCTTGTTCATACGTTCAGATTGACCAAACTCTCTTGACTGCAAAACAAATGTTTGTAAATATCTGGTTTCATCTTGAACACCCTCTGTTCAGAAGGAGGTGCGTTTTGTGATATTTGTTAATCAAGACTACAACATTAAATAATTGTACCAGTAGAAAAAGAACTTCACAGCACAGAACAAGTCTTGTGAGGCTGTCAGATGAAAACATGACAAATTTGTAAATTGTATTTAAATGTCCTTTTATAATGTGTTTCTTTTGGACTTTGTCTCGATACTTGTGATGTTTTATGTAAAGCACTTTGGATTACCCTGTGGCTGAAATGAGCTGTATAAATAAATGTGCCTTGCCTTCTTCTGCTGTAGAGGACTTTGTACATGACTTGTACTACAGGCTTATGCAGCAAGTTCTCGTGAATCACTTGTACGAGACACTTAAAGGGAAATTTTGGTTTATTCCAACCTGTCTCCTATCGTCCTAAATTTGTTTCAAGTGACTAGTGACATAAAAATAATAGTTAGCATGTAAGCCGTTAGCCTAGATACAGCCGGGGCGCATAGTAGCGTCAGACCTGTTAAAACGTAAGTGAACGGGCAACCTTCAAGTGCAAAGTTAGTCCACTAAACAAGCTTTTTTTCCACAAAGACCGCCTCATATCGTTAGGATAAATGTCAGAGAACATATAGAAAACGACATGTAAACGTGTTGTCTTACCTTACCGGTTCCCATCCTGGGAACAGAACATTAATTTCACATGATAATTTTTTTGTTGTTGAGATTACGACATTAAAATTGATACTTCTTATAGTTTTTTCTGTACATGACTTCTACTAAAGGACTGGACCACTCCACAATTTCGTTCAGCCAAAGAGAAAATCTAAAATGATGACAAGTTCACGTAAATCATCCGTATGAGCTGCTTAAGAATGAATCGAGTCCTGTGAGTGGCTCCTGCATGAGAGGAAATATTTTTGAAGTGTAGAAAATCTCCCTAAATGAAACGATTTCGGAGCAGTCTGTGCTTCACTTCACTTCCTGTAATTTTTTAAAGACTTCATCGTAGCAAACTCCACAGCGTCTCTGCCATGAGGCCAGTCTTTCAGATGCTCTGCTCAGTTCTCTGTTCGGAGTTTAACGAGTCTGAACTTTAGCAGCGCTGCGTGTTACATCAGTGTGAAAATAGCTCCTGAAAGTGCTGCTATCTGGGTCAGGGACGGGCAGCAACGTGCCGCGGAGGATCTGCAGCAGCTGGTTTCAGTCAGCAGATGAAGAAACTCTCACTGGCTGTCAGCTGTTGCACTGAAACATTATTTATTGTTCACAGCTTTACATGAACTCTTCTCTCCTGTACGTTCACATGCTGTTTATGTAGAGCTAAACCAGGCTGCATTCTGCTTTTTAATGCACCTCATGTAGACACCAGTGCCGTAAGGTGCTGCTGAGTTGTTAATAAACTGTACGCAACTCTCAAAAAGACGTGTTTTTATTTCTCTGTTTGACATGAATTTTTACTCCATTTCACACTTCCTACACTCTAATCTCAGTCCTAACATCTTGGCCCAAACCTGAGGATTTTTCCAAGTCTGTTTTAACACAGCTGCGGCCAGTTGTACAATAGAAGCATTAGTGACGGCTGTAATCATCAACTACTCTGTAAGACATGGGGGACAAAATCCAGAGTCTTTGTTCTGTGGGAAAATGACTGAATTCAACATGAAGCTTCAGCAGTCTGAGTTAGACAACACAAGTGGGTATTTCACAAAGTTAAAGCTTTTTATAGATTAAAACTCCCTCTTTAAGGTTCCCCGCTGAGCTGTGGCAAAGAGACATGTCTTGGTAGCTGCATGTGCGTTTGTTTCTGGGAAAGGAACACCAACAATAAACCCACACATGACTGCCAGGATAACTTGATTTAACTGAGAAAGAAAGAAAGTGCTGAAGCATCATATTGTCCTGTATTTCTCACAGGATACGCTCATTATGAGGGAATACATTTAAAGCCAGTGTGGACAGGAGGAATGATTACAGTGACGGTAATCTATTCTCAATATTGAAGCTGGAGCGTGGGACTTTTACATATATAAACGTCCATTGAGTGTTCATTGTTCAGGAGGTTTTTACCAGAAGCGGAATTATCTGCAGAGGTCTCCTCCTCTCCAAAACAAACAGACCAGCTGATTAAAATCAGTAAAAAATACTTACTACTTACTTAATACTTACTTAGTCACATTTCATTTGGGGCTGCAGTAGCTCAGTCCATAGGGACTTGAGTTGGGGACCGGACCGGACCAAAATATGGAGCGTGAACTGGTAGCTGGAGAGGTGCCAGTTCACCTCCTGGGCACTGCCGAGGTGCCCTGGAGCAAGGCACTGAACCCCCCAACTGCTCAAAGTGCCTGTCATGGGCATCCTCTCTCCACATTAGGCCCGTTTCCACCGCAGGAACTTCGGGGTAATTTTACGGGGCCGGGGCCGTTGGTGCGTGTCTCCACCGCAGGAACCACCCCCGAAGGACAGAGTTCCGGAACTTTTACAGGGGCTAAACAAGTCCCTGCCTCGGAGTAGGTACTCAGAACGGCCCCGAGAAACTCCTGGCTGGGGCTTGGGGATTACTTGGTGCTGATTGGATATACTCAAGGCGGGATGTGATGTTTTGTAAATAACATGGTTATCGTAGATTAGCTGGGCTAACCGTTAGCTGTTAGCGGTGTCTGTAATAACTCAATAAATGGTCTGTGAAAAAAATATTTTTTCCAGCGGATATCTTAGTTACAACATGATTGAGCTAGCAAAGCAGTTTTGTGTTGCTATGTGTGGTATTTATTCAGTTTTGGGAAATCACGATGTCTAGAAAGCATCAGCTGACAGGGACAGCTAACAGCGGCAGCAAAGCTCAGGAATCATCTGTTAAAAGCCTCCCGTTGTCGGATACGACATGAAACTACTCCAGTTAGCTCAATCATGTTGTAACTAAGACATCCGCTGGAAAAAAATATTTTTTCACGGACCGTGACCGGAGTCATTACAGACACCGCTAACGGCTAACAGTGTCCCTACGTCGCCCCGGTCAAAATGGTCGCGCAACGATTACGTCACATCGAGAGCCTGGTAACTTTACAGGAACCTTCCTCCTACTCCACTCTCACAGTGGAGACACGGCGGTTGAGAGGGCCGAGCGAGAGGACGTTCCTGTAGTAGTTCCTGCCCCCCAAATAGTACCAGGAACTTCTTCAGTGGAAACGGGCCTTTAGTGTATGTATAGGTCCTGTTTGTGCATGTGTGTGTTCGGACCTTTGTGTAATTGACAACAGAGGGGGAAAAAAATTGAATTTTTTATTCACATTTTTCTCTGCGCTCTTCTTTAACAGTCTTCTCTCACAATTTCCCCACAGGGATTAATAAAGTATTTCTGAATTAAGTTTATATTCAACATAATACCTCATTATTTCAATGCAAGGTTCTGGAACAAATGTATATGTGACACAAAGACGCAAGTTATTATTTTGGCTGATAAAAACTGCTCGGCTGCTGAGTCAAAAAGTTAATTTTTGGACAGTGACGTGGTAATCAATACATACAAGTACATACCATACAGAATTAAAGGCATCATATACAGTCACACACACACACACACACACACACACACACACACACATACACACTCACTGACTCTCTGGATGAAGCTGTGCAGCCTCGGGCCTGTTCTGAGAAACAAGCCTGAACGACCCCTCAACACACACACACACACACACACACACACTCACAGTCTAATTAACAGGGCTCTCTCCACTTGGCTTCCCTCTCTAATTGGCTCACCATTTCTTCCCATTAATTATGCTCCATTTCATATCCCCTTAATGAGTGTAGCCCCGCCCCCCTTCTTTAACACTAATTAACAGCTTTGAGGCTCATAATAAAAACAAGAAGAAGAAGAAACAACCCTGTGATGTTTTACAGTGTGTTGACAGCTCTGTGTTTTGTCCCTCTGCAGCACCCGTACCCTTCAGAGGAGCAGAAGAAGCAGCTGGCTCAGGACACCGGCCTCACCATCCTGCAGGTCAACAACTGGTGAGTCGCTGACGCCACACTCTTGTTGTGTTGGGAACTCCCACCCTCCACCCGATCCTCCGAGGCAACCTGATGATTTGAATGATTAATTCCTGTGGGGTTGCCTCGTCTCCAAATATCCCCCAATTACAGTTGCAGAGGGGAGGAGGGGGTTAATTGGAGCATTAATTGGAGCTTGGAGGGTGGAGGTAGAGACCTGTAGGAGGTTTCCTGGTCTGTTCTGTTTACTGATTCAGAAATGAAAACGTCAGCAGGTTTCACTGTTGGGGATTTAACTGTTAGCACACCGTACAGTTCACCGTGACTGTGAAATCCGGGTGAGTAATGGTTTGGCAAGTTTTCTTTTCTTTTTTTTTTTTTCAAGATATTTTTTGGGGCATTTTTAGCCTTTAATGTATAGGACAGACAAGCGTGAAAGGGGGGGAGAGAGAGAGGGAATGACATGCAGCAAAGGGCCACAGGCTGGAGTCGAACCCGGGCCGCTGTGGCAACAGCCTTGTACATGGGGCGCCTGCTCTACCACTAAGCCACCGACGCCCCAGTTTGGCAAGTTTTCAATGATATAAGCAATTTCAAATGTGTGTATTCAAATTTTGTGACTCTTTCAACACAAGGAAGTTCTTCATGAAACTTTTAGGAGCGCTACCTGCATTGCACCCAGAGCCTGGTTCCACTTTATATTTTTACCTCCGCCAAGGAGGTTATGTTTTCACCAGCGTTGGTCTGTTTGTCTGCAAAATAACTCGAAAAGTTCTGAACGGATTTTGATGAAATTTTCAGGAAAGGTTCATAATGGGAAAAGATGATATAATTTTGGTTGTGTTTGGTTGAAGCGAAGTGGATAAAATAATAAAATGGCGGGAAATCCGAGCTGCTTGGCGGAGGTCTGCGCTGTCCGAGTGCTCTAGTTTAATTTGGTTTGGTGACGTTCAGGGAGAAGATCATGAATAAAAGGAATCAAACCCAGACTATTTGATGGGATGCAAACACCTGTCTCCAGTGCACACTTTGTGCATCCACCCATCCAACACAAACTCTCTCAAAGGTTTTGCAGCATCACAAAAATGTCTCACTACTTCTGCTTTTCAGCCATTTCCAGGATTTGAAAATTGTCAAATAATAATGTGCTTTATAGTTTTTATTAGTTAATGAGGCGGAGCACTTTTTTTCACCATGTCAGATATCGTTAATGTAAACATACATGCCTAGAAAAAGTCCCATGAAATTATTTAATATATTAAAGAAATACTTCAACCCTCCAAATGATCATTTGCATATCAAATTAGTCGCCCCATGTTACATTAAATTCTTAAAGATAACGTCATGTTTCTCACATGCCTCAGTGGTGAACGAAGAATCCAAAAACTGAGGAAATTAAAGTCACAGACAGCTTCCCAGCCTCACGGCACTTTGTGATGTCGTCTCTTGCATTCTAGGTGCGCTTTTAAGGACTAAAATATGGCACCGATTGATTTAACGTGAGCAGGTACTCAGTAGTACCAATGTGATTTTGTCGATACCCTTAAAAGGCTGAGTGTTCAGCGAGGTAAAATGACTGTTTTCGTCAGTGGAGTCTGGCTCTGATGGCAACATAGATGAGTTTTTCTTTGTGTTCTGTCTGTTGAGGAGGTACCGAGTGAATAAATGAAACTTGGATTAAACTGCATGAGCTGTGTTGGAGTTTGTAAACAGATGCTTTGATATTTGTTGTTGTTAAATGCAGTCGGCTGTGACTTCAATGTATAGGAATTTTCTCTGTTTTTTGGATTCTTCGTCAGCGTGGAGTCATGCAGGACAAACGTTTTCTTTATGAATTCAGTGTAATGGGTGAGAAACTAATATAGAAATATTCATTTAGGGGTGAAGTGTTCCTTTAATGAGGTCTATGAGAGTTTATTGCGTCGTCTGTGTGTACTGCACATCTGCATCGCTCAACAAATGATTTGCCTGCATGATAAGAAAATTAAACCACACTTGAACTGAGTCGATTAGTCAGTCTGACACCTGAAAGAAAAACAGGGACTCAGGTGTTTTACATATATTTTGCATGAATAGAAACAGCAGATGAGTTCATTCACACAACCCAAAGCTGATTCCTGGAGCCTGTCGGCCTCTGAAGCCTCTGAAGCCATTAGTCAGACCCGCTTCCCCTCCGAATATTTGGCTGTTGCCGTGGTAACGCCCCTGGAGTAGCTCACAGTGTTTCCCTGATTCTGCAGATTCAGAGTGAATGAGCGAGCAGAGACGAAGGCCGTAAATGAAGCTTTGATCCGACCGCTTGTTTAAACTGTCAGATCTGTGTGTGTGTGTGTTGTTTTGTTGTTTCAACTTGTTGATTAATTTAGATCCGTTTCCTTTCCTCTCCTCGTTTTATTCTCACTTCCTTTTGTTTCTCTTCCCTCTCTCTTCCCTTTTCCTCTTATGTCCTCCCCTTGTTTCTTCCCCTCGCTTCCTTTTATTGCCTTTCCTCTCCTTGTTTCCTCACCTGTTGTCGCCTTGCTTCCTCCTCTCTCATTGTTTTCTCTCCTCTCCAGTCATGTCCTTGTGTTCTCTCCTTGTGTCCTTGCCTGTTTCCTCCTTGGTTCCTCTCCTCTCTTGTTCTTCTCTTCCCTCCTGTCATGTCCTTGCTACCTCTCCTCTCCTCATTTCCTCTCCTGTCCTTGCTTCCTCTCTCCTCCTTGTTTCCTCACCTGTTGTCTCCTTGCTTCCTCCTCTCTCTTTGCTTTCTCTCCTTGTGTCCTCACCTGTCGCCTCCTTGCTTCTGCTTCTCTCCTGTCCTCTCATCGTTTCCTTTCCTGTTTTCTCCTTGTTTCCTCTCCTCTCTTGTTTATCTCTCCCCTTCTCTCATCTCCCTGCTTACTCTCCTCTCCTCTCCTCTCCTCTCCTCTCCTCTCCTCTCCTCTCCTTGTTTCCTCACCTGTTGCCTTCTTGCTCCCTCTCCCCTCCGTGTTCCATCTCCTGTTTTCTCCTTGTTTTCTCTACTCTCTTGTTTCCTCTCCTCTCCTGCCCTTTCCTTGCTTCCTCTCCTCTCCTTGTTTACTCACCCGTTGCCTTCTTGCTCCCTCTCCTCCTCATGTTTTTCTCTTCCCTCCTCATCTTCTTGCTTCCTCTCCTCCTCTTGTTTCCTTATTTCCTCTCCTCATTTTCTCTCCTCTCTACCCCTTCACTCCACTTCTTCCTCCTCTCCACCCCTTGCTTCTCTCTTCTCATTCTTCCTCTTCTCTCCCTTCATCTTCTGCCCCCCCTTGTCTCTCATCTCATCCTCTCATCCTTTAATCCTGTTTTCTTTCTTTTTTCTCTCTTACCCTCCTCTTTCTTTTAATCTCTTTTCCTCTTAATTCCTCTCTCTTTATCTCCTCTTCCTTCTCTCATTCTCTCCTCCTCTGTCCTCTTGTATCCCACTCTTCCTCTTCTCCTTTCATGTTTTCATCTGTCTTTATTATCCTCCTCTCTTCCTCACATCAACTCATAACTCCGGCATCCTTTCTCCTCCACATCGAGACACAAATTTCTTCATTTCATGTCATCATCAGATTATTGTTGTTAGTTAGACTGTGGGGTTGGATTTTGTCTCATTTTAATTTTTTTTTACTTACGAGAGGGAGGTGTGTGTGTGTGTGTGTGTGTGTGTGTGTGTGTGTGTGTGTGTGTGTGTGTGTGTGTGTGTGTAGGCAGTTGGTGTAAATGGCATTTTCATGGCAAACAGCTGGACTGGTTTATTTAAACACACCCGATGTGGAGGGGTGAGAGGGTGAGGGTGGAGGGGGGGAGGTGGGGGTGCGTACTGACCTGAGAATGACACCCTGGGTGGGCGGAGCTTGTTTTACAAGCAGCATGTTGGTGTGTGTGTGTTTGGTGATTGTGGTCATGTAGCAGCTTTGTTTAAACCCTCTGCAGAGGCGTCCCGACTGTACAGAGAGGAGCAAACCCCCCCTCCTCCTCCTCCTCTTCCTCCTCCTCCTCCAACCTGAGGGGAGGGGCTGGAGGCGACAGAGGGGGCGGGCCCAGAGAGTGACTTATGTTAGCCTATAGTTCGTCCATGTAAAAAGACTTCACATTTTGGCAGCTGTGGAGGAAGTGTTCAGATCCTTTGATTCAGTAAAAGTACGAACACCACGCTGTAAAAAAAACTGTGACACAAGTAAAAGACCTGCACTGAAAACTTTATATTGTGTAAATATAATCAGGAAAATGTAGTTAACGTATCAAAAGTATAAAAATGTCCCTGTGACTGTTATACTATTACTATACTATTAAACATGATATCAATAGATCATTATTATTAGATACACAGAGCCCAAAGTAGCATCTTCAAGCTGCTCATTTTTTCCCAAACCAACAGTTAAACCTCAGAATTTTTCAGTTTACTGTAATTTAATACAAAGAAAAGCAGCAAATCTTTACTTTTGAGAAGCTGAAAACATTAAAAATTACTCAAACAAATAGTTTAAATATTTTATCAATTGACTCACTAATTAATCAATTAACCATTTCATCTCTAATTTTGTGGGCAGTTGGGTAGTTTAATAACAATGCGTCATGGATAATAAACTCTCCATATGTTTGGTGTTAAAAAATCTTGGTTAAGTGAGTAATATGAGTACAGCTGTTAAATAATTGTAGTATGGTAAAAGGTACAATTATTTACTTGCACGATGAAGTGGAGTACAAGTATGGAATGAAAACAGTCAAGTAAAGTATAAGTACACTAGCTTCTAGGCACACGATATACATCAGTGCGCTGTTCAGATAGAGGGCAGGCAACTGGGGGCAAAGACTATCACTGCACACATGGCAACGATATGTCGTTACGGCTGTTCAGTCAATCAAACTGAGAAAAAAAAGAGGCTACTTAATTTCAAAAATAGAGAAACTCTAAGAAAGAGTAGTTGAGAAGTTGGATGCAATTACAATGTGCTGTCACAAGCTGTGTTTTTAGCCACAATTCAGATTTTTAACAGCACTAGTGCTAGACTAGAAAACAGTTGCTCAAGTTAGCTAGTATTACCTGGTAACGTTAGCTAACTTCAGGCATGGTTGACCTAGTTGGAAGGAAATAGTAGCTAAAGGTAGCTATTAGCTAGTAAGGTTAGCTAACTTAAGACACAGCTGACCTAGTTGGCAGGAAATTAGCTAAAGGTAGCTAGTTACTAGCTACCTTTAGCTACTATTTCCTGTCATCTAGGTCAACCATGCCTGTTACTAGGTAATACTAGCTGCTAGTATTACCTAGTGACGTTAGCGAACTTCAGGCATGGTTGACCGGGACAATTAGGGCAGGATTTGAGATTCGGGACAACTGCTTGGATTTCGGGACTGTCCCAAATTTTTCAGGACGCCTAGTAACATTGCTTCTTCATGGTTTTCCTGCAACTTGATTGGATGCTGTCGGATCGGTTCAAACAAAGTGGATCATAGGATAATTAAATGTCGACTTATTAATAGTGTAAACGTCAGTTGATTCAGGAAATGAATTGATTCGTGGCACACCTTTTGTAAAAACATACTTTTTAATCTTTGGGCTTCAAGTATTTTCAAGTCAAAAGGCTCAAGTCTGCGTGGCGTTATGAGTCATTGGTGTTACAGTCCAAGTCAAGTTGCAAGTGGTTATTAATTAATTAATATTACACTCGAGTGTAGTCATCAGTCATCAGATTTGTGACTCGAGTCTGACTCAAGTCCAAGTCATGTGACTCAAGTCAGACACTCCTCTATTTAGAGCTTTAATGGGGCCAAAAAACTCAGCCAGGCTCCACATCAGTCCACATTCTGTCCAAGCTCAACCTGAGCCCGAACCACGGCAGCAGTTTTGGGCTAAAGCCTGATTAAAACCCGAATTTCTACTGTTAAAAAAAAATCTATTAATAATAATACATTTCTTACAAGCTGAAGTTAAGTCCTTACAGTGCAGTAACAGACATTTATGACATGACTTTGGACATGTGCCTTCTCCTACTGAATGTTCCGCACAGCATAAATAGTATAACGTTTCTTGTCATTAATGAGAGGCAGATTTTATTGAGTTGCAGAGTCTGTACATTATTTATGACATTACACAGACTCTAAGGTCTGCATTAAAAACAAGAAAGGAAGAACTCAGGGAAATTAGAGCGAACCCAACCCAACTGCAGGAATTTTAAGAAATTCCAACCCATCAGGTAGGGCACTGATTCGGGCAGATAATCAAAGTTCTGTCTCCTTGTTACTAAGTATTTTATATTTTTAGAGGACAGTTTTTTGAAACAGACTCTGAAACATCATTTAGAGCATCATGTGACACTGAAGTTGTACTTCTCCTTCACTCCATCGATAATCAATATTCAATGTTTAACTGAAGGTAGTGTCTGTCGGTGACACAGTTAAGTTTCCTGTTGGAGCTGAAGCAGATCCTCCTTTACTCTCCTCTAAGAATTCTTCCTCCTGCTCCACCTCCTGCTTGCCTTTTTTCACTCCCTGAAAAGGCTGCTGTGGCTTTTGTTTTCCTGAAAAGGAAACAGGGTCGTCCCCCACTTTTTTCTTCTTCTTTTTTTTTACCCCCTTGAAATGGAGTTGAAATGGAACCATCTCTCCCCGGGGGTGAGGAGGTGGGGTGAGGGTGGGGAGGTGGTTGTAGGGGACATAAATCAAGTGGGAAACCACAGAGCTTTCACTCCGGGGCGGGTCAGGAGGGGTCGACAGGCGGTTCAGAAGGCTTTAAGCTGAGGAAGACCAGAGCGCTCCTCTGCAGAGGTGCGGCGGCGGGGGGAATATGGGGGAGTTCAGGGAGGGAGGTGGGTGGGGGGGGGTCACAGAAGGTGCCAGGTCAGAGGTCACGCATACCAGGATGATGGCTTTCAAGAGTGTACTTAGAAGGGGACATGTATGAATGCACCGCTGCTGCAGCCCCCCTGAAGCCTGAAGCCATCACAGACTTGGGTTCAGTGTAGTTAACATTTTTCTTCCACTGTATTAACCCTGTTCATAAGCAGTGTATTAACCCCTGTGTTATCTGTAATATAATAATAATGATGCAAACACAATTATAAAAAATGTACTGAAATGTGACTAAATTCCTGTTTGCTCAGCCGATTTATTTGAACTGCAGATCTGATCCTACCTTGCACCTGTTTTAGTTAACCTGATCCTTGAGTTAACCTGAACTTAACTTTTTTAATGCTAGCAGCTAAACTGAGCGCTAAGCTAACCTTAATCAAACTTTTTTAGCTGCTAAACCTGACTTTTAGCTAATGGAAATACAAGTTTAAGCTGCTGAACTACCACCGGCTGGAATTTTACCTTATAAAATGAACTTTTAGTTTTCTGAATCCAAACTGTTTTACCTATTGCACAGAATTAATAACCTTACTCTAACAAAACAGCATTAGCCGACAAACTGTACCAGCAGCTAAACAGAACTCAGTTGCCGTCACCTGTTTCAACAGCCAATCAGCTTGTAGTGAAGTCCGCTGGTCAAGTCAAAATGACTGCAGATGGCGTGTTGGCTTGCTGCAGCAGGTGCTCCGTCCCCGCTGAGTCCTCTGTTTCTGTCCTCATGGTGTGCCGGTGTTGGACGGTGGGTCGCTGCCCCTGCTGGTTATTTATATTATTGTGGCGTATTAATTATGAATACAGTCCATCTGATGCTGGTTTTGTTTCATCACTGTAGCCAGTATCTCACTATCACTATCCTCATTCAGATTTTAAGAAGCTACAAATTATATTCAGCCACAAAATAAGTCTGAAAAGCTGCAAATCAGAACGAAGTACAGAGAGTTGTTGACTAGAGATGATACGCCGTCTCATGGTGGTCACTTCCTGTCAATGTTACAGATCAGAAGCACAGAGAGTTGTTGACTAGAGATGATACGCCGTCTCATGGTGGTCACACACAGCGCCTAGTTTTTAAAAACAACTTTCCTCTTGTTGTAAAATAATTGTTTCATCATTGTTTCATACTCTGTCACCATGGAAATTTTAGTTATTTTTGTATTAAAAACAATTTAAAAAATTACGCAACATTGCAAAATCTTTGTATTTTTGTCCAATTGTTCTAAAAAGGGCAAAATTTCTCCCTAATTTACAAATTTCAGCAGAGATAATTCTGAATTTTTCACTAAAAATAATTTTTAAATTATGTGTCTCGGAAAAAAAGTGTTATTTGGACCTTGCAGTAATATTTTAGCAACTAAATATTCCACTGTCCAGATAATAGGCTGATGTGTATGTTGTGAATTTAATCTGTTTTTTTTTTCCCCCCAGAATATCTGTTATTTTGACGCCCCACAGTGAATCAGAGGAAGTTTTCTCTGCAGCTTTACAGACAGAACATTAAAACACTGCTGCTCCACCTCATTTATAAACTGCCTCTGTGTGTCTGTCCCTCCTCCTGTTTGACTCCTCTTCCTGTTTTCCTCAGGTTCATCAACGCGAGGCGGCGGATTGTTCAGCCAATGATCGACCAGTCCAACAGAGCAGGCAAGTTTTTATGTTTTATATTTACGCTCTGGTCCAGATCTGCTTCTAGTGACCAATAGTAATGTGGTCTAGTAATTTACTGTAGTTTAATTTTGCTGGTTTGCTTTTGATGATAAAATCTCACATTCTTTACATTCTCTCAAAAAGTGCTGTTTTTGTTCATCAAAGGTTTGTTTTATCACATAATAATTTTGTGACCAATGAAAACACGTCCTTTATGGTGCATTTCAGGAAAGTCTGACATTTGAGATGTTACGTTTTGTGTCCAGAAAGCAAATCAAACCCAGAAGATGAACACAAACCAAAATAGATGTTGTGACTGTTGAAGCTTCTTGTGTCAGTAAAGTTGCCAAGTATCAAATTTTGAAGTTTTCGTTCAGTAGCAGTTTTGGCCATGGCTGTCACTTTTTAAAAAAAGAATCAAGATTGAAACGCATGCCGCTCAGCCTGATCTTAAACTACATTGTAGAACTGATTAGTGGTTCTGTTTATTCGTATAGTGCCTCTGCTGCACTTGAGTGATGAGCTTTGTTTTTCTTAGATGTACAGCTTTACCTCATCCATGATTCACGATTCAAGAATTTTATTGTCATATGCAGAGTAGAAAACTTGGTGGTTTGCTCCGTGCAATGAAATTCTTAATTGCCACTTGCTTCACACAAGACAGTAATAAAAATTAGAATTAAAGTTAGATTTAAGAAAAAAAATAAAATGAGCAACCATTTTGACTACGTTGATAGCAAAGAGGAAATATGTTTGATTTTGTTGCTTTTATAGCACAAGTTTTTTTTAGCTGAAATATTGTGCTGCAGAGCTTCTGTTCAAAAACAAGTGTGAACTGTACGTTTGGGAATGATGGAAAGTCAAGATAACTGGGTAACACTTTACTTGAAGGTATCTACATAAGGGTGACATGACACTGTCATAACTATGACATGACACTGTCATGAACCTGTCATAAACATTATGTACATGTCATAAACGTTTATGACCGCTGTCATTAAGTGTCTTTCGTTTTTGTAATGACAAGTTGACATTGTTTGGGTTGTCTTGATTATGACAACTGGACATTAATCAAAGTGACATTACCAGAAGTTGTCTTTGTCATGACAAGTTGACATTAAATTTGTTTGGGATGTCCTTATAATGACAACTTGACATTAACCAGGATGACATTACCAGAAGATGTCTTTGTCATGACAATAATAATCATTATGTCAACTTGTCATAAACACAAGAAGAGGTGCATTTCTTGTTAATGTCAACTTGTCATAATAAAGACATCCCAAACAAATTTAATGTCAACTTGTCATGACAAAGACGACTTCTGGTAATGTCACTTTGATTAATGTCAACTTGTTTATGACGTGTACATAATGTTCATGACAGGTTCATGACAGTGTCATGTCACTCTTATGAAGATACCTTCAAGTAAAGTGTTACTGAAAATTTTGCCTCATTGGTAGATTATGATCTATTGAATTATGGCATTGTGCCCTGTTGCCCAGCAGTGGTCTTGGACCAACATATGGTCTGTCATGCAGTTATCTTAGATTTAGTCTGTCTTGAGATGAAAATGTTTAGTTTTAGTCACATTTTAGTCATTTTCATCCTTCATAGTTTTAGTCAACAAAAAATCAAAGCGTTTTATTCGACGTTTAGTCATTATGTTTTCTATATGTGTTTTCTATCTTTAAACTAATCCAGTGAGGTTAACTCATGGATCATAAATCAGATTCAAGGTGACAGGTTGTATAAAATAATGTGTGTGTCATGTTTTCAGCATTGTGTGACAGGTTTAAGGGCTGATTTACGAGCACACACTTACTGATCATCATCTGAAAAGCTCAACATCTCTCTATTTATGCTCTCAACAAATAACTAATGTGAGCCAACTAGGATTTGTCCCCAGGTTCATTGTAAACTCTGACTTATCCATGTGACTGTTAAGAAGCAGAAACATAACTTGTTTCTTCATGTGCAACATGTTAGTCTGGAGGTTTAAACTGGTGTCCTCTCACAGAGTTGGTGATTCAAACTAAACTTTTATCTCTGTCAGAGAAAACTGATCTGAGTTCAGACTGTTTACTTACAGCACAGCTACACTCACAGATAACTGAGCCTCCTACCTGCCTGTCAAACACCATCAACCCACAAACCTTCTCCAGTCCGGACTGAGTGTAGTCCTGCGGGGTGAAGCTGTGAAGTGTGTTTTAGTGTTTTCGTTATGAAAAAAAACTTCATTGTAGTTTTTGTCAATGAAATTAACTCCGCTGTCACGTCTCTCAGCTGAGTCACGATAAGAATTCATGACTCTAATATGAGACAGTGACCATCGTAACAGAGACAAATATCATGTAGTCTGACTCCGGCATTAGTTTTACTGACTGTGTTATCTGAGTTGTGGACACAAGTACAAGCATGACAGTTATTAGAAACCTGGATAAGGACTTTACATGCCGCAGTATTCCAGTATCTATTCGAGTACCGCAGCTGGCATACATTCAAACATGGATAAGGGTTTATCCAAATTTCTGACACCAGGATATGATGTGTTCCTGTGCAAATCGGATACACCAAACACCTGATCATAACTGGAGGACTGCGGTGCATGTAAACACACTCCTGCAGTCTGAATGTGATCAGTAAAAAAGCCTCTCTGGTGAACTTCCCCCTGCTCACTGCGTCTTTTGCTCTCTTGGCTCCTTGGTGTGTTAAAGCGAACAGAGAAGCTTAAACTCCAGGACTGAATGGCCTCTAAACCCCAGCAGGATTAGCTCCAGACAAAGACGCTAATCACTTTGACTGACCACTCCATTGAACATTTTAACCTGGGATTAAAACAAATAGGAGCCTGGCTAAAGCGGGGCTAAAGTACCGCTAGCCTTTTGGCCCCTGAGCTTTGTTAGCGTTTACCCTGCGGCTGACTTCCACACAAAAGCATCGATACACTGCTGAATGACAGCGATGAGAAACTGTTAAAGACCTGAATCCTGGGAATGTGTGGACTGAAAAAACTTCCCTTACTTCCCCTTAGGGTGAAACTTTATTGAGCTAATGTCCCCCACGAGGACAAACACACTTTATTTAAAGTCATCTCATTATTGGTTAATGACCGACTCCCTCATCATCTTCCTCCTCTAAAGATCTGATGTGAGATATAAAAAAAGGAAAATAAACTACAGCATAAAAAAATATAGAGAGATTATATTTAGATTTCATGCAGAAATGTAATTAACAGCAAATAAAACCACACGAACTCCAGCAATGTTAGGGTCTTTGTTAACCCTTTAACTTCCTTGTCAAGAAAAAAGCAGTTTAAATTTTATTTCTTTGCAGTTTTTGTTTCCTTGGAACTACGATAACAAAAATATAAAAATATAGGTCTCTATCAAACAGCTGAGATGACCCTTCATGGTAAAACAGAAAGAAAAAATCTCAGGTACAAACCATGAACTGTTATAATGCTTGATATGTGTTAGTATGCAAACATATATGAATTTGTGACCATGGAATTAGTAGTGTTGCCAGTACTTTTATTATTTCCAGGTATGTTTTCTACATATTTACCATTATATTACTTTAAAAACATCTCAGAAATGGTGAAAAAATCCTATTGATACCATTTTTTTCATCAAATATATAGTGGAAAAACATTACATTTATTTATTTATTTACCTATTTATTTATTTATTTATTAATGACAGTGAATATTCTTTTTTTTTTTTTTAATAAAAATTTTGAATTTATTATCTGAGCATTAAAACCTTTACCATAAAAAGGCCATTTCAACAGTTTGGTCGAGCATGTTCATTAGATTTTATTAGATTAGATGACCTTATTCGAAATTTTAGTTTTTGTATAAAGTTCCATAAATCTGTTCAGTAACTACAACATGTCAAATAAACACACCTAGCTTTGAAAACCCCGCCACACAGATCCTGCGTGTCCGGAGTGACTCTTTTGTTACTAACTTCCTGTAGGAGGTGAACTAAGAAAGACATACTATAAAGACACAGCGACATCTAGTGGATTTTTTAGCACAACATACCTAAACCGCATGGTGTAGATAGCTCAATCAGGCTGAGTTAAATTCAGCACCTTTTTTTCATTAAGATATAGTGACTCAGAATGTGTCGAGTGTATGAACGGTTGAGGATGTTAGACGGTTAACTTGTGGGATAATATTCCACTCAAAATACGTTGCCACAAGCCTAACCAACAAGATGTTAGTCCGTCTCTCAATACAGTCCTACTTCCTGTATGTGGCTCTCAGTTCTAAGCTCAGTGGTTCCTATGGAAGATGTAGGACGGTGCTGCTGTAGGACTAAAAGCTACTGGCTATTTCACAAAAAGAAAAGACAAACATGTAGACGTGTTTCCCTTTTCAAAGGCGTATAGCAAATGGAGGTTTTTTTTTTTCTTAACACAGGCATATTTCTAAGGTAGCAAATTTTCTGCCTAACATATAGTTGGAGGGCCCCCTCATGCCATCTGCCCTCCACCCAATGCAACCGCCCTTCCTGGACTGTCTATATTTTCGCCCCAGATTACACAGGATAAAGGCGGATTTATAATTGTGTGTTAGCTCTGTGCAGAGCCTACGCCGTGGCCTACACATGTGGCCCACGCCATTGTGAACATTTATACTGGTACGGGTGTGGTGATGTGTCTGTGTCACTCTGCAGTTACACCTCCAAAACACTAGTCAGCGGTGGAATTTCTTTGAAGTGCTATAAAGTTTAGTTGATTCAAAACACACATTAAACACACATTAAACATGGCTCAATAGAGACCGTTTCAAACACAAGTACACAAATCAGCTTCACTATAACTCGCAGCATTCACAGACAAACACTTGTCTTTATCTGGACACATTTTCCCCACAAATACAACATGCTAACGTTATTAGCACAAGCCTATGGCATTTTACATTGTATAAATTAGCCTAGCAGCTAGCAGAGATTTCCTCTGCTCATATGAAGTCAGGATAAATCACACACAAGACTTAAAATGCTATTTTAGTGGAGGCTTTATTGTCTTCACAATTTATTGTTTCTTATCTGTGAAATTAAAGTAAATCAAAGCTTTGTTTCCACTGAGGGAAATGGTTTCAGCTTACAGAGACAGACAGGAGGTCTGCGTCGCTGCAACGTGCAGTTACATTTCTGGGAAGGTGCACATCAGACTGTGGCGTAGGCTCTGCAGCTTTGATTCAACACAGAAGTATAACTCCCGCTAAAGGGCACAGTGAAGGCCTGAACACAAGCTTAATTAACAGAGCCTTCACTTTCTGCTAAACAGGCTCATCCTGCATTAACAAAGTATGCAGTTAAAACAACTAAGGGGAAACAGAGTGAAGGTCAAGTGTAGGAAAGAAGAAAACAGTGGATTTTACATTAACAGACCCCGAAACTATCAGGAAAACTCATCTCGAACATTCGCATGAAATAATCCGCTCAAAATTTATCCAGGTTGCTCGTTTTAAACAAACTCCCTGCAGTCATTGGGCTCATTGTTTGGGTTGATTTACAGTATATCAGTTGTTCTTTACTGTTACTGTTATGCATTGAATAGAATATAAGATAACCATAAAATATGTCACTAAGTCAGTTTACTCAAAGACAGAAAAAGGGTCCCTTCAGTAAGGAGGCTGGTGACCACTGCCTCACAGTGAATACGTCCAGTAGTTTGTGAGACTAACGAGAGGCTGCTCTCTCCATGAAGGAATATTCGTGTGATAGACAGCAGCTGTCAAACCGTCCTCCACCTCACAGTGTGAGTGTGAGAGTGATGTCATCACTGTGGGACAGCAGGCAGCGAGATAATTAAAAAGAGTAATCTCTCCCCCCCCATGTCCACAGTGAGCCACGCAGGACCGTACGGCCCAGATGGTCAGCCAATGGGAGGCTTCGTTATGGACGGACAGACACACATGGGAATCAGACCACCTGGTAAACACACACACACACACACACACACACACACACACACACACCCCAATTCAAGCTTGTACCTTATGTTGCTGTGGACTGTTGCTGTTATTTTCCTGCCAAATGAGGACATTTGAATAAATCTTTATTTAGAGGAGTGCTCTATCATATTAACATTAAACATAATAAAAGTTTATAGCTGCACTAACTGTCCAACTGAGGCTGCACTGATCATTGCAAATGGAAAACGAAGCACCTTTCTATCACTTGATTTTTACTACCTGTGGGGTAAACAGTGGGCGAAGAAATATTCAGATCCTTTACTGTGTTAAAAATATTTATACCACACTGTGAAAATACTCCACTACAAGTAAAAGTCCTGCAAGAATTAACTGAAGTAGAAGTATGTATGTTACAGTAAACTGTTCCATACTGTCAGTTTTCCTCTTCTATCTGATGTTTTTGGATTAATATTACGGCTGCATTAATGTGTATATTGTTGGGCAGTTTAATCTACAGCGATGCATCATGGTCTATAAGATCATCATATGTTTGTAGCGTGGCTGTCCTGTGAGTACAAGTAAAAGTACTTAGTTACATCCCACCACTTTTCAAGTTTTATGATTTATTTTCTCTAAAAATCAAAATCAAATCAAGTTTGTTTATATAGCACATTTGAAAACAACCGCAGTGACCAAAGTGCTGTACAAGATAAAAGAATGACACACAAATATATAGCAATACAAAATGTACACAAATATGAAACAGAATGAAACTGGTGAGAACAATTACAAACATGAAAAGATAAAATGTTCACTACAGACAACCAAAGGCCATTGAAAACATGTACGTTTTAAGATTGAAGTGTCAGTGGAGGGGGAGCATTTGATTAAGAGGGGAAGGCTATTCCGGAGCTTTGGAGCAGCGACTGCAAACCCAACCAAGCGTGGAACAGTTAAAAGACAATGTCTTTTGGGAGTTGGAGTAGAGCAGAGGAGTTCAGCGATACACTGGGGTGCCAGCCCATCTATGGCTTTAAAAACAAATAAAACAACCTTAAAGTCACTCCTGTATTTGATAGGTAGCCAGTGCAGGGACGCTAGCGCTGGTGTAATGTCTCTTTTTCTGGCATGAGTGAGGAGTCTCACTGCAGCGTTCTGCAAAGAGCTGCAGACGAGACAAAGATGACTGGCAGACACAAGTACAGGGATTGATACAGAATGATACTGGTGTGTAATCTGTTTTGTGGTTCATCTGTGTGTTTCTGTGTGTGTCCTGCAGGTCCTATGGGTGGCGTGGGGATGGGGATGGGCGTGGAGGGACAGTGGCACTACATGTAGCACCACCGCCACCCTGCAGCCAGAGGACTCGCCCAGTGTCCCGGCAAACCACCGTAAGTAACTCATGTTTGAAGGACCAGGTCACCCACATTATATGTAGGGCTGGTGAGATTGGAATCATCTGTCGGAGTCGACTTTTTCTCATTTTGTTTTTTGTTTTGTCAGTACAGTGTACAGTGTAACTCAGGGGGCGTTTCAGTCCCCAGATTTAGCGGCGGTAACCTCACCTATGGTCATGAGATCATGGATATGATGGCTGGGCTCAGCCTTAGAGATAGGGGGAGGAGCTTGGACATCTGGAGGGAGCTCGGAGTAGAGCTGCTGCTCCTTCATGTTGAAAGGGGTCAGTTGAGGTGGTTCGGGCATCTGACCAGGATCCTCCTGGGCGCCTCTCGCTGGAGGTGTTTTGGGCACGTCCCACTGGTAGGAGGCCCCGGGGCAGACCCAGAACACACTGGAGGGATTATAGATCTCATCTGGCCTGGGAACACCTCAGGGTCCTCCAGGAGGAGCTGGAAAGTGTTGCTGGGGAGAGGGACGTCTGGGGTGCTTTGCTCGGTGTGCTGCCTTCGAGAACCTGTCCCGGATAAGCAGATGAAAATGGATGGAACCACTCCTCGCATTCACGCTGCTCTTTGGTACAGGCAGCTGCAGACACAGAGGCAGCTCTGAGATTTAGTTATCTTATGTTTTCTGGTGAACTTAAGGCTCACACCAACTTAATACATCACAGTCTCTGGCTTTTGTTTGATATCTAGTGTTGGCAAAAAATGTTGTTGAACATTTCCAGTCCATTGTTGGTGTCATTAGCATTAGCCTGAGGGCTAACTTGGCTTGTGAACCACATTACGTGAACATTGCTGTAACCCTGTATGTCCCGCTCAACCCTGATGGAACCCTCAAACTCTATTTGGAAATAAAAGAGGGAATGGTCAAATATTGAACAGCCAAATCTGATTCGACTGACATAATTCTGAGTCAGGTACATCCATAATTACATATTTTTTCTTTTTACAGATTTTGCAAAATNACAAATACAACATGCTAACGTTATTAGCACAAGCCTATGGCATTTTACATTGTATAAATTAGCCTAGCAGCTAGCAGAGATTTCCTCTGCTCATATGAAGCCAGGATAAATCACACACAAGACTTAAAATGCTATTTTAGTGGAGGCTTTATTGTCTTCACAATTTATTGTTTCTTATCTGTGAAATTAAAGTAAATCAAAGCTTTGTTTCCACTGAGGGAAATGGTTTCAGCTTACAGAGACAGACAGGAGGTCTGCGTCGCTGCAACGTGCAGTTACATTTCTGGGAAGGTGCACATCAGACTGTGGCGTAGGCTCTGCAGCTTTGATTCAACACAGAAGTATAACTCCCGCTAAAGGGCACAGTGAAGGCCTGAACACAAGCTTAATTAACAGAGCCTTCACTTTCTGCTAAACAGGCTCATCCTGCATTAACAAAGTATGCAGTTAAAACAACTAAGGGGAAACAGAGTGAAGGTCAAGTGTAGGAAAGAAGAAAACAGTGGATTTTACATTAACAGACCCCGAAACTATCAGGAAAACTCATCTCGAACATTCGCATGAAATAATCCGCTCAAAATTTATCCAGGTTGCTCGTTTTAAACAAACTCCCTGCAGTCATTGGGCTCATTGTTTGGGTTGATTTACAGTATATCAGTTGTTCTTTACTGTTACTGTTATGCATTGAATAGAATATAAGATAACCATAAAATATGTCACTAAGTCAGTTTACTCAAAGACAGAAAAAGGGTCCCTTCAGTAAGGAGGCTGGTGACCACTGCCTCACAGTGAATACGTCCAGTAGTTTGTGAGACTAACGAGAGGCTGCTCTCTCCATGAAGGAATATTCGTGTGATAGACAGCAGCTGTCAAACCGTCCTCCACCTCACAGTGTGAGTGTGAGAGTGATGTCATCACTGTGGGACAGCAGGCAGCGAGATAATTAAAAAGAGTAATCTCTCCCCCCCCATGTCCACAGTGAGCCACGCAGGACCGTACGGCCCAGATGGTCAGCCAATGGGAGGCTTCGTTATGGACGGACAGACACACATGGGAATCAGACCACCTGGTAAACACACACACACACACACACACACACACACACACACACACCCCAATTCAAGCTTGTACCTTATGTTGCTGTGGACTGTTGCTGTTATTTTCCTGCCAAATGAGGACATTTGAATAAATCTTTATTTAGAGGAGTGCTCTATCATATTAACATTAAACATAATAAAAGTTTATAGCTGCACTTACTGTCCAACTGAGGCTGCACTGATCATTGCAAATGGAAAACGAAGCACCTTTCTATCACTTGATTTTTACTACCTGTGGGGTAAACAGTGGGCGAAGAAATATTCAGATCCTTTACTGTGTTAAAAATATTTATACCACACTGTGAAAATACTCCACTACAAGTAAAAGTCCTGCAAGAATTAACTGAAGTAGAAGTATGTATGTTACAGTAAACTGTTCCATACTGTCAGTTTTCCTCTTCTATCTGATGTTTTTGGATTAATATTACGGCTGCATTAATGTGTATATTGTTGGGCAGTTTAATCTACAGCGATGCATCATGGTCTATAAGATCATCATATGTTTGTAGCGTGGCTGTCCTGTGAGTACAAGTAAAAGTACTTAGTTACATCCCACCACTTTTCAAGTTTTATGATTTATTTTCTCTAAAAATCAAAATCAAATCAAGTTTGTTTATATAGCACATTTGAAAACAACCGCAGTGACCAAAGTGCTGTACAAGATAAAAGAATGACACACAAATATATAGCAATACAAAATGTACACAAATATGAAACAGAATGAAACTGGTGAGAACAATTACAAACATGAAAAGATAAAATGTTCACTACAGACAACCAAAGGCCATTGAAAACATGTACGTTTTAAGATTGAAGTGTCAGTGGAGGGGGAGCATTTGATTAAGAGGGGAAGGCTATTCCGGAGCTTTGGAGCAGCGACTGCAAACCCAACCAAGCGTGGAACAGTTAAAAGACAATGTCTTTTGGGAGTTGGAGTAGAGCAGAGGAGTTCAGCGATACACTGGGGTGCCAGCCCATCTATGGCTTTAAAAACAAATAAAACAACCTTAAAGTCACTCCTGTATTTGATAGGTAGCCAGTGCAGGGACGCTAGCGCTGGTGTAATGTCTCTTTTTCTGGCATGAGTGAGGAGTCTCACTGCAGCGTTCTGCAAAGAGCTGCAGACGAGACAAAGATGACTGGCAGACACAAGTACAGGGATTGATACAGAATGATACTGGTGTGTAATCTGTTTTGTGGTTCATCTGTGTGTTTCTGTGTGTGTCCTGCAGGTCCTATGGGTGGCGTGGGGATGGGGATGGGCGTGGAGGGACAGTGGCACTACATGTAGCACCACCGCCACCCTGCAGCCAGAGGACTCGCCCAGTGTCCCGGCAAACCACCGTAAGTAACTCATGTTTGAAGGACCAGGTCACCCACATTATATGTAGGGCTGGTGAGATTGGAATCATCTGTCGGAGTCGACTTTTTCTCATTTTGTTTTTTGTTTTGTCAGTACAGTGTACAGTGTAACTCAGGGGGCGTTTCAGTCCCCAGATTTAGCGGCGGTAACCTCACCTATGGTCATGAGATCATGGATATGATGGCTGGGCTCAGCCTTAGAGATAGGGGGAGGAGCTTGGACATCTGGAGGGAGCTCGGAGTAGAGCTGCTGCTCCTTCATGTTGAAAGGGGTCAGTTGAGGTGGTTCGGGCATCTGACCAGGATCCTCCTGGGCGCCTCTCGCTGGAGGTGTTTTGGGCACGTCCCACTGGTAGGAGGCCCCGGGGCAGACCCAGAACACACTGGAGGGATTATAGATCTCATCTGGCCTGGGAACACCTCAGGGTCCTCCAGGAGGAGCTGGAAAGTGTTGCTGGGGAGAGGGACGTCTGGGGTGCTTTGCTCGGTGTGCTGCCTTCGAGAACCTGTCCCGGATAAGCAGATGAAAATGGATGGAACCACTCCTCGCATTCACGCTGCTCTTTGGTACAGGCAGCTGCAGACACAGAGGCAGCTCTGAGATTTAGTTATCTTATGTTTTCTGGTGAACTTAAGGCTCACACCAACTTAATACATCACAGTCTCTGGCTTTTGTTTGATATCTAGTGTTGGCAAAAAATGTTGTTGAACATTTCCAGTCCATTGTTGGTGTCATTAGCATTAGCCTGAGGGCTAACTTGGCTTGTGAACCACATTACGTGAACATTGCTGTAACCCTGTATGTCCCGCTCAACCCTGATGGAACCCTCAAACTCTATTTGGAAATAAAAGAGGGAATGGTCAAATATTGAACAGCCAAATCTGATTCGACTGACATAATTCTGAGTCAGGTACATCCATAATTACATATTTTTTCTTTTTACAGATTTTGCAAAATATGTCTGTCTGTCTCCACCCTAATACAATGGCTATGAATGTAGTCTGGTTTGTGGTACTGAGAGGACGCCTGTCTTACACCAGGCACAAAGCGACAACAGGACAGCGTAACTGTCATTTCTAGTTTCAGACCGACACAGTTGTCATTTCTACGGCGTGTTTGGTTGCTTGGGTGCATTGTTGGCGTATTGCTGTTTCAAGATAACAGGATGTGATTGCACCATTGAGCAACAAAAAACGTGTCGTAAGCGAGTGAATTGTTCTGTGGGAGAAATACACAGTTATTACATTGATCAGACATTTTGTGTTTTGTTTGACTGAACAAAGGGTCTGCTGCTCTGAAATCTCACATGGACTGTTTGAGTTACTTCATTTTTCTTCAGGAAAGTGCATCCACATTAAGACTCCTACAGACTGTGAGATTTTAGCAGTCTTATAAGTTTAGAGCAGCTANACAAATACAACATGCTAACGTTATTAGCACAAGCCTATGGCATTTTACATTGTATAAATTAGCCTAGCAGCTAGCAGAGATTTCCTCTGCTCATATGAAGCCAGGATAAATCACACACAAGACTTAAAATGCTATTTTAGTGGAGGCTTTATTGTCTTCACAATTTATTGTTTCTTATCTGTGAAATTAAAGTAAATCAAAGCTTTGTTTCCACTGAGGGAAATGGTTTCAGCTTACAGAGACAGACAGGAGGTCTGCGTCGCTGCAACGTGCAGTTACATTTCTGGGAAGGTGCACATCAGACTGTGGCGTAGGCTCTGCAGCTTTGATTCAACACAGAAGTATAACTCC